TTCCTGTTAAGGGGTAATAGATTAGGTCAAAAGCAACTGATTTTGTCCTGTAATGTCCTATCCAGAAGTTAACCGTTTTTTGAGTTATTTGAATTTTATTTTTTTATTTTTTATTCCGATTTCAGACGGTTAAATTTGGAATACAAAAAAAATACATGTTTGATTTTGAGTTTTTTGTTATCGTCGCATAGCGGACATTCCAATAGTTCATAATAAGTATTAAAAATGTTGAAAATTTACAAAAGTTTTAAAATTACGCTTTTGAAATGTATGATTTTCTTATTTTTTTTCTAACTTATTCGATAAAAAATGCAATTTTCTGTAAAAAATCTCCTAGTAATGAAATTTGCAAATTATGTATAATATCTCTATCTAACAAGCTTTCATTTGAGGTATTAACCGTTCAATTATCTGAAGTACATGCAGAGAAACAACAATGACACCCACAGATGCTGGATTTTTAAGGAATTTGTATTACCTGTTTGAAGTCGTTACTGTCCTCAAAGTGCTCCCATGCCATGATTGTTTTATGGCATCGGCTCGACGAGGAAGCGAGCGGAGAAGAGCTGACTTAGTGGAGGAGTGAGAGAGAGAGAGAGAGCTGTTATTATGTATTCATCATTGTAGTTACGCCATCGCCGCACGCCGAGTGAGAATTAGGTTTAGTTGGTATCAACTACTGCGTTCGCGCACACGTTTTACGCACGATTATTATTTTCGAGCTTCCCAGTTAATTTCGAGTGGTTTCTTTATCACCATGGCAGACCCAGAAGATCCGCCAGGACCTCGCCATAGCGAGCACGGGCAAACTCTGCGCTTTTACCAGTGATGGAAGAATGTTCGACATCCGGCCAAGATTTTGTCTTTCTTTCAGCAAGATGGTGCAGCGTGTCATACCTCAAAAAAGGCTAAAATGGATGGAAGAAAATAATGTACCACTTTTGAAATGGGTTTCTAGCAGTCCAGATCTGTCACCTATTGAAACTTTGTGGCACGAGATGGAAAAAGTTCTACGACAACATCCTGCTCGTACAATCACCGAGCTAAGACAAAAGCTTCAAGAAATATGGGATTGTTTTACACCAAATTTTTGCAAAAACTTAGTTAACACTATGCCCCAAAGAATTTCAGCCGTAATAAAAAATAACGGTGATGTTACCCAATGGTAATCTTTCAATTGTTGCTTTTTAACTTCGCGCATTTATTCGCACATTGTTTATTTGTTCAGATGTTCTATTAGTTACAGGTCTAAGTGATTTCAAATATATTTTTTTACGACTAGAGTGTATTTAAAATGTTTTTGAGAAAATAAATTGTTTTGTTTAGAAGTAAATAGTTTCATGTTAGTTTATAAAGGCATACTTTGGTACAAATCTTGAAGTGGGCCAACTGAAGTGGGAAGGGGCTCGTACATCATTAAGGTGGACGTTTCCGTCCATATCTGAATTTATGTCTTAATGACTGCATTCAAGTAGGTGCCATATCCGCAAGGATAATTACAATTGCATGTGAATTCAATCGTAGAACTAATGGTGGAAGTGCATCATCGATTGATAGGGAATCTATAGTGGATGTGGCATGACGTCTTTGGTTGGATTCAGGCCAAGATTTTTATCGTAAACATATGACAAAATAACAGAAGTTTATGTTGTGCACGTCTTGACTGACCTTTATTGGAATTATTTAGTTTTCGTACAAAATGATGTCAGTCAAGTCATCGTTGGTTGTCAGAGCGGTCCGTGGGACCTTAGCTCTTGAGTCACAGTGTCGGTTTGTAAGTCTGTCAGGTCTGGTAACCCAAAAACCAGACAATTTTAAGGAAAAAAAGGGAAGGAAAGGAGAGAAGGAAGAACGAGAGCAAAGGGGAAGAAGAGAATCTTTTAGGATATGCAGCGTTTAGGCATTGTTAAAATCGCTTCACAGATTTTGATATGGTCTAAAAATATTTGATTTTTTCTTCTAAAGATTGTGTAAAAATGCTCCAATTTTGGTTGTTCTAAGTTCACGAGTTAATTTTGATTACAGTGCGAGCCGCGGCCTTTTGTGCTTGCGAACTTGCTCGACTGTGTAGTCCACTGAATCACGCAACAGAGGGTTGCTGTGCGATTCCGCTAGGCTATAGCGCCGCTGCGCCTGTTGCTTAATGTAGTCCTTTAGGTAAGGGACATCGAGGTCTCTATGTAGAGTTTCGTTAGAGACATACCATGGGGCATCAGCAATAGTGCGCAACGTCCTGCTTTGCAGAACCTGCAGACTTCGCATGTGTGTTTTAGCAATAAAACACCAAGCCGCACATGCGTATGTCATTGCTGGTCTTATGACCACCTTATAGAGTCGAATCTTGTTAATCAAACTTAATTTTGACCGTTTACATAATAATGGGTAAAGCTGCCGAAACGTAATTTGGAATTTAGTTTTTAGCGCTTCCATATGGTTCCGCCAAGTCATCCCTTTGTCCAGAATGACACCGAGATACTTAGCGGAGGATTCCCATGGTATACGAAGTCCATTCATTGAAACTTCAGACGGAACGCCGCGACGTCTTTTTGTACAGTAGATTGCCTGCGTTTTCGAATGGTTTATTTTAATTAGCCACCGATCCGCCCAATCTAATACTTCTTCCACCGCACTTTGCAGCCTGTCATGGACTAGGTCACCAGACCACGACTGAGCCACCAATGCAGTATCGTCAGCATAGAGATAGACTTCACAGTTGCTGGGACTAGGGACGTCATGGATGTACAGTGAGTAAAGGATAGGTCCAAGGACCGAACCCTGAGGGACGCCGGCTGTAATCAGCCGTGTTGTCGACAGCACATTGTCAATTTTGATCCGAAATTTCCTACCTTCAAGGAAGGATTTCAGTAGTTTTAGAAGCCAAAAAGGGAAGCCCTTTTGGATTAGTTTATACAAGAGGCCCGCGTGCCACACCTTGTCAAATGCTTTTGAGACATCCAAAAGCAAGATGCCAGTACTTTCGTTAAGGGTGAATCCTCTGGTTACACGTTCCACCAGCCTAACCGCCTGTAGCTCCGTACTATGTTCAGACCGAAAACCGAATTGCACGTCAGGAATCACATGGTGATCTGACGAGAAATTCTCAAGGTGACGTAGAATCACCTTTTCAGCGAGCTTAGACGCAGCTGACAGCAGGCTAATGGGACGATAATCCTGGGGAAATATCGAACCCACCTTCTTTGGAATCATTATAACTTCAGCGGTCTTCCACGCGGATGGGAAGTACTGGATCCTGAGCATGGCATTGACTATTGCCACGAGATAAGTTAAGGACTTCCGCGAAAGCAGCTTCAGCGCCTTATTAGTGATTTGATCCTCCCCAGGTGCTTTACGCACTTTAAGGTCTTTAATATGACCTTGAATCTCTGCTGGTGTGCAATGCGGGATCTCAGGAGATACCGCTGATGTGCTAAGCAAATCTTCGGTTGAAGAAGCTTCTGAAGAAGAATCTTCTGATGAAGAAAAATCACCAACGAATGCGCGACTGTCACTGACGCCGTTGGCCCTAAAATATCTCCTGACAGATCTTACGATGTGTTGCTCCTCGTCGAGGTCATTATCAAGATCATAGTTGGGAGAGAACTGTCTTTCCTTCCATGGCATCGGCGAAAACCTCAACCTTCTCCTCTGTCCTGAAGACAATGCCTCCAGGACCGTGAATGTGTGGGATTTGTTCACGCTTTCCGTTTTTGAGCGACTTCGCCACCTTCCAGAGAGGAATGCTTGAGTCAAGCATCCCCGCCGCAGAAAGTCGTTCCATTGCTCATTGCGGAATTCATGAAGAGCATTTCTTACTTCATGAACAAGATTCGTCGCTCTGCGAATGTCATCAGGATGACAAGACCTTTTCGCTTGCTTAATTGCAGCTCTTTTATCAGAAATTTTCTGACGAATGTCTGCTGGCAGAAAAGGTCTGCCGTGTCGCTGCACGGGAAGTACAGCTGCACGCTGCAGAGTTTGCTGAACAAAACTTGTCCACTCTGCTTGAGCCGCATCTATACCGTTCTCATCATCTATGATCGGTATATTGGGGAACTCTTTGAGGAGCGACTTGTATAGCTCCCAATCAATGCGTTTCCTTGGAGGGATTTCATCCCCCAAGATCTGCTCATTAGCCACTTCCAAAACGACGGGAAGATGATCGCTTGAGATGTCATACATGATTCGAGAGAAGTGATGCTGTAGCTACAGTTTTTGGATAATGCCAAATCAAGAACATCAGGTGCCTGAAGGTGATTAAATGGGTGGTGCGTCGGCTCCTCAGTACTATGTATGAGGTAGCCATTTCGTATCACATGGTTGTACAGTCGGATCCCACTGGTGGAATTCAACCTGGAATGCCATGCTCGATGTTTGCAGTTGAAGTCCCCTGCCACAATAAGTGGACCCGAGTAGTCTAAAAGGACTTCCAGATCCGCCTCTTGCAGCCTGTTACCACACCTGACATACACCGATGTGATTTTTAACGGCACACCTCCCGTCATATTGACCACCACGGAAGCCGCTTCGATGCTCTGCATGTCAGCGTTTGTGCTTCTGTGGTAGTCAATACCGCGTTTCACTAGCACTGCCAAGCCGCCACCCCGTCCAGTCAATCTATCAGCCCGGATAACATCGTAATTCGGGAAAGCTAGACGATCTCCCGGATTAAGTAATGTTTCCTGCAGCAAGGCCACATCTATACTTTCGTCCACAAGAGCTTGATGAAATTCCCGTCTTTTGGGAATGTCCCTTAGACCCAAACAATTCCAAAAAAGAATTTTGATAAATGCAGGCTGTCGTCGATTGTACCTAGCCATTTGCAGGAAAGATCGCCTGCAAAGCCTGTGTTGCGCTAATCAGAGGACCTATGATCTGCTGTAAGGACCTTAGCGCGGTTGCCAGGTCCACATTTTGCGTGTTCGCAGAAGATCCCACAGAGGGGGCAGCCCGGGTTGCATCCCTAGCTGCATCCGCGTAACTTACATTGCGCCTTTGCGCTATCACTTGCAGATTTTTCTTAGGGGCAAATCTGCAAGTTCGGCTATTCGCTGGATGCCCCCCTCCACAGTTCGCGCACTTCGTTCCTCTTGTTCTGTTTGAGGGCATAAGTGGGTCATGTGGTCAGAGGCACATTTTAGACATTTAGGTGGTGCAGTGCAGTAAGATTGCGCATGCCCATATTTTTGGCAGCGGTGACACTGCCCGATGAGTCTTGAGTTCTTTTGAACTTCGACTCGGATAGCCAAACCTAGCAGCTCGTGTTCGTTGAACAGCTGCTGAGATTTTTCTATCTTGGGCAGTATGACTACCACCAAAGGCATGGGCACGCCGCCACCGCGTTTCAGGCGAATTATGTGCAGGGGGGAATATCCCCTCTGTTGCAACTCTTCCTTGATCTCAATTTCCGAAAGTGTCGCATGTACTCCTCTGATTACAGCATGAATGTTCTCTCTCGGAGGGTAGAGGGAAAGTGTGATGGGGGCACCTCTTCCTCCCTGAAGAGACGAATAATCCTGCGGTAATCATCCTCGGACTTGGGAATTATCCTGATTCCTGCATCGACGGCAACCGCGCGTTCGAATTTGATGCCCAAGGAAATAACTTGTGATTTACGCCTCGCCATCTCGAAGCATCACGAAGAACGATGGGGGTAACACGTACCTTGCGTGGGGGCTGTGCAGTCGTGTCTTCTGGTACCTGAGATGTCGAAGGCGTGGGAAGTAACCGATAGATTAGGCACAGGCTGTTTATTCGAGTCGCTTGCAGTTGAATGAGATGTTTCAGACTGCGATTTTGGTGAAGGAGAGAGGAGGAAAGCCTGTCGTGTCGGTCTTGTTTCGTCGCGTTTTACGGGGCTTAACCTTGGTAAAACCGTCAGGGAGTGTATCGTCGTCTGTGGAAAGATCGCTTGAATTATTTAACGGTCTCTTAAGATTGACAGCTTTGTCTTTACTGGGATTTTTGGGAAGTGTTTGGGAAGAATTTGTAATATTTAGATGGGAAGGTACCTGGGTTTTCAGTAGGAGGTCTAATTTAACTGTTAGGTCGGTAATTGTCCGCTGCTGGGCTTCGATGATCATCATCAATCTTTCATTGGTCTTCTTATCATCGTCCTTTTTTGACAGCTCCTGTCGAACCATCTCCAATTCGGCTCTCAGCTCCTCTATGGTCTGCTCCTTCGACTCCATCTCCATTGCCATGGTGGAAGCGCCATTTCCTGACCCCCCTGGTCAGTTTCCATATAAATACCTCGGTTATCTCGCTTTTCGTCTAAAAAATTTTCCGGATCGAAATTACGGGACAGCTGCTATCAGTGCCCTATACAGGGCGATTTTACAAAATGATGTCTTGTGCTCCGATGATAGGGAGTGGGTACTGGGAATCCACAACAGGTTGTATATACTTGAGGCCTCAGCCTGTCAAAATCGTAGTATGTATGTTTGGTAAGAGTTCCGTCCCTGTCAACATGATAATTTTGAGAAGCTAGGTCCGAAATAAAATAAAAAAAAAAACACCTGAGTTGCATTATAGTGCTGTTTTTCTCAAAAAAAAAATGATCAAAGGTAGTTTATTTAGTATTTAATGAATCATATAATTAATATGGAAATGTAGATTTCTTCGGGAGCCTAAACACATATTTTTTATTTGCGCTACAGATAACCATGGTAAACGCTAGGATAAATTATTGAATAGGCACTGAAACTAAGATAAAGAGATAAAGATAAACGGTAGCTGTCGCATCTATATGTGATCTGTGTTGCTACTGACGTATACAGAGTGTGAAACTTAATTGAGATGTTTCTCGACACGGGTATTATGTACAAAAAAAAACAGTAAAATATTATCTTGCAGTCTAGGTAGTTTTCAGGCTAGTAGTAGTAGTAGTAGACATTTATTTAATCCATAATATAAGAACAATAACAGCAACATAGAATGGGTAAATAAATGTTTCAATCCATAGAACGACAATGCCTTTACATGAGTCAGTCGTATGTTGGAATGAGCTCCAAAATCAAAAAAAAAAGTCAAAAGAAACTTAAAGAAAAACTTATATCAAAGAGGGTGTATATGTAGAGATGATCATTTTGCAAGAATTTTTGATAGGAATTCAATAATGTGTTGTCTTCCTATTGCGCGTATACATTTTCATAATTTCTTTTTAAAATTATGTGTATTTCGAAATGGTTTTAAGTCCTTGAGTATGTGTTATTATAATTTTGAAGCCAATAGCTTTATTATTGTTTTATGAGGTTTAGTGACAGTTTTTGCTCGTGATTTATATCGTGTATTATGGCAATGTATGATTTTATCGCAATCACTGACAACTTTGTGATAATGGCTGGTAATATGTAAAAATAAAGTTGCTTGATATCAAATAATTTTGTTTCGCTATATAAATCATTTGTTGAATATAATTTTGGTTTTCCGAACATAATTTTTGAAACAGTTCTCTGTAAAATTTCTACATATGTCGTTTAAGTACACTGGACATGCTGTACCCCATGCTAATATACCTTACCTTAGGTGCGGCTCAATTAAGCCATGATATATAGTACGCATACAATTTTCTGTCAATATGCCTGTGAGAAATTTTATTTTGTATGTATGAATGTCCCATCTTAAATGTTGGTCTAAAAGAATTCCTAAATATACTAAGTGATATAAATCCGAACACCCAGTTTAAATGGTTTTATTTTAGTAGTAGTTCTTGCGATTATGCAGCATCGACTACTGGGTCATTAGCTGCGTGTCGTTATGTGATTCAATTTTGGTTGAGTATAATTAGAGTTTCCAGTAAAAGCCCGTGCATTTCAGAAACGATATCGTGTTTTTTATTAGATCAGGCTTTTTCAGATTTTCTGCGAAATCTCTTGACAGACCAAAACTGTTTCTAAGGTTGCTTAACGCTGGACATTCTATCATAATATGCATTGCAGTTAATCGTGCCTCGCATGACGGACAATTTGGATGGCCTTGGCCAGAGAGTAAGTAGGAATGTGTCAATGCTGTGTGGCCCAAACGCGCAGTCTAGTATCATCGGACGGCTCTTCTCTACTCATCTTGACGTTAGGTGTCCATTTTGTTACATCAGGTTTTATTGTTCTTAGCTGAGTAAGTTCATTGTTCCACTGTCTTTGCCATGCTTCTGTTATGCATTGTCTAATTTTCATTTTCAAGTCTGGTGCTTTCACTATTTACAGTCAATTCCAGTTGCGGCAGCAGCCTGCCTTGCAGATTGATCTGCCAGTTCATTTCCTAGTATACCTACGTGTTGGTACCCATATAAAGACTACCCTCTTGTCGCCATCCATCAACAACCTTTAATGTCTGAAGGCATGCTAAGATTAACGGATCACGGGAATACGATTTGACATAGCGTGTAGGGTGCTCAAAGGATCGCTGACTATAAGAGTAAGGTTGCTTTTTGACTCTATCTGGCAGTATTTAAGCGCCTGTAAAATTGCATACTGTTCGGCTGTGAAAATCGATGTCATTGGTGGGAGAGTCCATAAATGGGCCACCCCGTTTATGATAATCGAGCAACCAACTCCTGAGGCAGTTTTCGAACCGTCTGTGTAGATGGTTTCGGCACATGTGTACTGTTCCAGGATACCTTGAAAATGAGACCTCAGTTGTACTGTTGGTGTTTCCTTTTTGTGAAATTTAGTTAGCTCCGTGTTAACTTGTGCAGATGGGATCTGCCAAGGTGGGGCTTCATTTTTGAGTGGATATACTGGCATTTTAGTCAAATTTAGCTCTCGAGATATTTCACAAATTCTCACACTGAGGGTCTTGTGATAGTAGGCCTTCTATTATAGGTTTCATCATACGTACTTAACAGAGAGAAATTCCGATGATGTGGCGTAGCAGATGTACTGACTTCGTATGAGAGTATGAGTCTTTTTCTCCTTAGAGTTAATGGCTCGACGGCTGCTTCAGCGCAAAGGCTAGCTGCTCTCGTTGTACGGAATGCTCCAAGGCAGTACCGCAGTCCTAGGTTTTGGATAGTGTTTAACTTATTGAGTGCAGTACGTCGAGCGGATGAGTACACAATGCATCCGTAGTCGATTTTTGATAGAACCAAGGACTTGTATTTTTATCAGAACCTCTGTATCAGCTCCCCACCGGGTAGAACTCAGACACTTAATAACATTCAACGTTGACTTACACCTATAGATTAATTCTGCAATATGACATTTCCACGTTAACTTTGAGTCAAATATCAATCCCAAAAATCTCATAGATGTTTCGTTGGGGATTAATTGGCCTTGTAGATAAAGTAGTGGCCCATCATGCTGACGTTGGAGTCTGCAGAAATGTACGCACTTTGTTTTGGTATTTGACAATGTGAAACCACTGTTTATGGCATTTTGGCTTTTTTGTTTATTGCTGTCTGCAAGTTACCGGAAATCTCTTCAATGGAAGGGCCTGATGATAGTATACACAAATCATCAACGTATAGACATCTGTCCACCACCGGATTTATGGACTCGGCAAGTTTATTAATAGCAATCGCAAAAAGCGTACAGCTAAGTGTCGATCCCTGTGGTATTCCATTTTCCAAGGTGTGGACTGTTGAAAGAGTGTTTCCTACACGTACTTGAAAACGCCTGTCTGTAAGGAAGGATTTCAAAAATTTTGGGAGATTTCCTCTAAAGCCCCAGTTGTGCAGTTGGTATAGAACATCATATCTCCAGACCATATCAAAAGCTTTTTCTATGTCAAAACACACAGCTACTGTGTGGTGACGGTTTTTAAACCCATTTTGGATGACATTCTCTACATAGACAAGTTGATCCACTGTAGACATATTTTTCTAAATCCTGCCTGGTAATCAACAAGTAAGCCATTTTTTTCAAGAAACCACGACAGGCGCTCATTTACCATTCTCTCTAATATTTTTCCGAGACAGCAAGTAAGACTTATGGGCCTATAACTTTCAGGCAAGAGTGGATCCTTTCCGTGTTTAAGAATGGGAATGACGATTGCAAGTTTCCAGTCTTTTGGGTATATTCCTGCAAGCCATATCCTGTTGTATATGTTGAGGAGAGTAAGCTTGAGATGGAGAGGGAGATGACGGATCATCTCATAATTTACCATATCCGGACCAGGAGCTGATCGATTTGTCTTTTTTAAGGCTTCTTCTAGCTCAAACAGTTGGAATGGCTCATTATACGCTAAAGATACGTCTGTTGAAAAGTCTAATGGTAATTCCCTTGCATTTTTGGTGGACCTGAACTCGCGACTATAGTTTTCCGAGCTGCTGACGGTAGCAAATTTATCTGCTAGTAAATTACAGACCTCATTTGTGCTGTTAATGATGTTGCTGTTACAGGTCCGCAGATGTTTGATTTGCCTAACTGATTGTCTACCATACACGGCTCTGACTTTATTCCATACTTCACTTGCTGTCGTTTCAGTAGTAATAGTGGAGACATATTCTCTCCATGATTTTCTCTGGCTTTCTAGAATGAGACGTCGCGCTTTAGCTCTAGCTTTCTTAAAAGATATCATGTTTGATACCGTGCAGTTCCTCTTAAAATATTGAGTGCACGCTTTTTTGATCTCACGGCATCGGATATGTCAGAGTTCCACCATGGTAACCGACGGCCTCTTGGAGATCCACCACCAAGCGGAATGCTGTTCACCGCAGCCTGATGTATCAGCTGAGTAAAACTATGAATACCAATGTTATTATCTTGTACAGGACTCACAATTGATAAGTAGTCTTCGAATTGCTGCCAGTTTGCCTTTGACATCAACCAGTATTGAGGTACTTGGGGACTACTTCTAGATATGTCAAAGGACGTGATACAAGGAAAATGATCACTATGATACATGTCATCTAGAGCTCTCCATTGGAGGCGATCGGCTATGGATGTTGAACTGATCGCTAGATCAATCGCAGAGAAAGATCCGGAACGAGCAGCCAGATGGGTGGACATTCCTGTATTTAGCAACATCAGATCTTCTCTCTCTAGTAAGTTTCCTATCAATTCTCCTCGGTGATCTAAACGTCCTGATCCCCACAGGGGATTATGCGCATTGAAATCTCCTTGAGCAAGTATGGTGCTGGGAGCTGAGATATAACGTTTTCGATGTCACCAATTCGCCAATTTCCATCAGGTAGGTATATATTACAGACAGTTACCTTTACAGGAACTGTTATTCGAGCTGCAACAACTTGTAGTGCTGAGTTTACACATAAAGGCTCAAAACAGACATCCTCACGTAAAATTATGGCAACTCCTCCATGTGCTCGCTCGACAGCTGCAACATCTTTTCTCAAGATGTTATATTTTCTAAGAGAGTAAGTTTGATTTGGTCTGAGATGGCTCTCTTGAATACATAAGCACATTGGATCATGATTTTGTAAAAGCAGCCTAAGCTCACAGTACCGTTGGACAATTCCATTGCAGTTCCACTATGATTGATTCCATTGCAATTTTAAGAGTTTAAATGTATGTAAATAAAATACTTTCACAACAAATAAATAAAATAAATAGTATGTAGGGATGGACGGTACATAATAAATAAAATAAATAGTTTTTTTTTTTTAAAATAGAGTTGATATAAGTGATATAGCATCACTCACGGGGCAGTCCTTTTAGGCCTGCCCCGTTTTTTTGTTGGATTTGAGTTGGGGTCCATAGCAGATGAATCATCATCTGTAGTGGAGTCCCCTGGTTTTTTTCTTTTTTCGGACGCTGCCGATAAATTTGTAGAGACAGAATCAGATCTATCTCTACGGAAGATTAGCCCTGATGATGGGGCTTTAAAATGGTCGCACTTAGATGTAGAACATGAGATTGCGTTTCTAACTGCAGTTTCGATATGAGGAATTATTCTCGATATGATCTGCTGAATGTTCATTTCTGATGACTTTTGGACGGCAGCAGAAAGACGTAGTAGGTTTTGGAGTGGTTATATTTACTTTTCTTTTTGCTTCTGCATATGTTATGTTTTCCATTACCTTTACTTTCTGTATTGCTGCTTCAGCTTTTAGTTTTGGGCAATTCATATAAGCTGCTGAATGTGGACCTTCGCAATTTACGCATTTTTTGGGCTCCGGGCAAGGCCCTTCATGTGGAGGATTACCACATGGACATATTTTTTCCTTCTGACAGTTTCCAGCTGTGTGACCTAAAGCTTGACAGTTGAAACACCTGGTAGGTGGTGGAATATAAGGCCTTACATTTAATTTATGGAACGCAACGCTGATTTCCTTTGGTAAGACAGTTTTCCTAAATGTCAGCACGTGATTTGGAGTTTCAACCAGTTCACCATTTCTTTTACTCTTTAGCCTTCTTACATGTATGACACCATCACCTTTCAGTTCATCCAATATCTCCTCAATCGAGCAGTTGAGCAAGTCTCTGCAAAAAATCACGCCTTTTCGGGTATTGAGGGACTGGTGTGCCTCAATACTCACATCAAATTCTCCAAACTTTTTTACCTGGAATAGTCGCATAGTCTGCTGTGTAGATTTAGTTTCAACGAGGAGACCTTCTCGAACCTTTCTCACTAACTTTACTTCACCAACAATTCCATATAATGTCTTTGATATAACAAAAGGGCTCACTTTATCAAAATTATCGCTTTCTCTTTTAACAAGCAGAAACCGGGGGCAATCGCCCACCATCCTCACGCCTGCTGAAGGACTGGAAAGTGCTCCCCCAGCACTACCCGTTTTTTGGAGGGCGGGCGCCTCCTGGATGTTTTGGTTTTGAGTAGGCTTCATCTTATTCCCACGAGTAGGCTCTGATATGGAGGTCGACTATGAAAGAGCAGGCTTATCATAGCAAGGCTAGTTTCAACCGGAGGTCGCCCGGTATCCGGAGGCAGCCGTTTGGAACACACTAACGCAGTGCCATTCATCCCCTCAGCACGGCAAACACCTTGGGATTGCGGATTTTTTTTTTTGAGGTTTACTCCTCTAGATCCGCCGTGTTCTGTTAAGAGCAGGGACAGCTCTAGCAGCATGTGGTTCTTCACCACGCACGGACGGTCTTGCAGGTGCAGAAGCTGATGGACTATAAGTCTGTATTACGTATACACCTGCCTGGGCAGCTTTTGCCTCGCGGAGGCTACTCACAGGCCCTTGTCCCCAAAAATAATAATAATAATAATAATAATAATTATAGTAATAATTACAATAATATAATAATATAATATCATAATTATAATAATAATAATGTAATTATAATAATATAAAATAATAATAATATAACAATAATAATAAATTATAGTAT